AATCCCAAGACCCGTCAGCTAAGACAGCAGTTCTGTTGATGGGCACAGCAGAAGAGTTCTCAGTGAAACCTTTATTATATGGTTGGAAGGGCCTAGGCGAGACAAAGACACCGATTATCTGGTACCGACCTAAGGATGGAGTGACGCAACTTCGTCAGAGGAGACCTCAGCCAAAGCATGTGGCACTCAGGAGATTTCAGACAAACCAGGGAGCAGTTAAGCCCCCACCAGATTTTAGAAAGCTTTGGAGGTGGTTAAAAAAGATCCCCTCCCAGAAGCAAGCAGGGCTTATGTGGGCACAGTCCCTGGCAATCATCCCTTCAGCCTTGTGGCTTAGTCTTAAGGGGATGGAGCTAAGCGTGACATGCCAAAGATGTAACTGGGGTTGGGAGGATGTAGAACATCTCTGGCTCCTATGCCCGTTGGCAGACCAATTATGGATTTGGTGGAAACTGCAGTGGGAGGAAGGGGGGGGACCAGAATGGGAATGGACGGATGATTGGATCCTATTCGCCATCCCCCCTGCGAACGCGAAACTATCAGACAAATGGGGATACATGGCCCTTATTTGCAGAGGTATACTTTTGGAGGTGATATGGAAAGCTCGGAATGCCATCATCTTTAGAAACGAACGAATGCCACTTCAACAACAGACAGGACTGGTTAAGAATATGCTCAGACTGACACTACTGACAGAATGAAGGAGATTGAAACAAGGGCCAGGACAGAGCATTTACCGGTTCAAGAAGAATTGGACTGAGAGAGACTTTTTAGCCTCAATATCGTCTGATGGCAAGCTAATAATTTCCAAGTGGATTGCTTAGATGGATGAATAGTCGTCCACTTGGAAATTATTAACTTGCCATCAGACGTTTTTCATCGTTTGTCCAACACCATCGCCCTTTCCAAGGACTGGATCTCTGTAGGCCAACGCAGAAGAAGGCAAGAGCAGGAGAAGTAAAGATCCGGTCTTTAAGGGTCCTAAGGGAGGTTAAACTTCATAAGGACATACTCAAATGGTTTATGATACCCGAAGGAGCAGGAGTTTATTTCGGTTTTCCGATATTTCAGGAGGAATCAGAATAGGGTAATGATGGAACTGTAAGTACAGTCCCTCACCCCTCTTTTACTTGGGCTTCAAGGGCTGAATTTTGGAAAGCTTTTGACAGGGGACGCTGGACCCGGTTTCCAGCAGTAGTATGGGGTTGTTTTCTAAAGTAAGCTGGTGAACTGGTTAAACTTGCTGAGGCTGCCAGGATAACTCCGGGTCGAATTGTGAGGTCCCCGGCCTCTTTTCCAATTATATGAAATACATTTCATGCTTTAGAAAAAAAAAAAAAAAAAAAAAAAAAAAAAGAGTTTTCGGCCTGCAACTCTCAAGTGGCTGCAACTCTCAAGTGGCTGTGTGGCCACGCGTCCAACTCTTGAAAACGCGGTTTCAAGAGTGGTGTGGCGAGGCCTTTAGTATGCACTCAGTATGCCCTCACACCCATGTTCTTTGCTTTTTCGCGTGTGCATTGCGCAGGGCCCATGATCATCTTCTCTGTACGGTGTCACTTCCGCTGACGTCCCAACGAGCTCCTGTTCTTTTTTTCGTTCTTTCCTTTTTCGATTTGTCCGACAAGCCGCCGAGCGGCCTACCGACGCCTTGAGACCCCACGGCAATTGTAGGCCTCTGGGAGTCCGGGGGCCAAGTCCCACTTACGCTGATCCGTGATTTTTGGTCGTTGATCCTCCGAGTCTGCGGTCAAAAATCGATCATTCGGGTAAGCGGGACTTGGGCCCGGGATCACTTTTCGGGTCAAATTGCGGCAGTAAAGCCGGAATTCACACTGGCCGCTCAAAATCGGAGAATCGCGAATACTCGATCTGGCGGCTGATTCTGCTATTCTGTGATTTTGATTGCCTACTGTGAGGATTCCGTCATGTCAATGCAGTGCGGAGTCATCAAACAGGAATGACGGACGGAAAGGGGAGACATCGAGCGCGAGCTATTCTTCGGATACACAATTCCGAGGAAACTGGTGGTTCCCGATCCAAGGAAAAAGAAGAAAGAAAAGAGAAAAAAGAAACGAACCCGCCCGCCGCGTCCACAGACACAGCAAGTGCTGCTCGAAGTTCTCCACGTGCTAGAATGTGCGTCACCACCCTCGTCAGCCGCGCTCCTGCATGCGCTGCTTCCCACGAATCGATACAAGCTACTGGTCCCCGCGGTCCCCACCGTCCCCAGAAGTAGAACACAGGCATCGTCCCCCATGCACAAGCACCTGGAGACAGATGGCAACGGAAAAAAGGAAGCAGTAACCGCGCGAACGCGCGCGCGCGCGAGAGAGAGAGAGAGAGAGAGAGAGAGAGAGAGGTAAGCGATTGCATTTCACAGGAGTGGGTCAGCACCGCGATCATCCGTCGTCTTGCCTCGTCATGGTGATTGCTTCAATAATCCTCTTACCGAAATACAACGAGTCCCATGCACGCTGGTCATTCTTCATCGTTCTTTCACTTGTACAGTTTCCTACAGTGCCGCCACAGGATCTGATCTGCTCTCCTCCAGGCGGTGGGCATCGGTCCCTACTCTCGACAAGTGCACACCGAAAGAGAATCTTCCATAGAACATGGAAAGATACACAGCCATGATTTTTTTCTTTGGCGCAGGTCGAGAATAGTGGAGCGAGACCCAGTGAATCTGAGACGAAAAGAAGCATCCAGAAATGGGCCACTTGTCGATACCCGAGTATCATCGTTAATTCCGGACGGGCCATTCTCATCTTCTCTGTATCTTCTCTGTAATTGGGGTTCCTAGAAAGCCGCGCTCTGTTTCAAAGTCCAAAGGTTCTATCCCCACCGCTCCCTTGCCCACGGCGATTTGAAGACAGCCAGGACTGCAGGGAGGAGAGAGAAGGGAGAGCAAAGGAAGAGGGGGGGAGGAAGAATCATCTGGAGGAGCGCAAAGCCGCTATTTCAAAAAAAAAAAAAAAAAAAGTCCAAAGGTTCCTCTACCTAAAAAGGGTTGCCCTCAAAAAGAATTTGTCTCGTCGAACTACTGAATCTGAGACGGAAAGAAGCCTCCAGAAATCGGTCAGTTGTCGAAGCGAGAGTATCACCTTTTATTTCCGGAGGGGCCATCCTTATCTTCTCTGCAATTGCCGGTCCCGGTATGTCGCGCTGTGTCTCAAGCTGCAAGGTTCGTCTACTGCCACTTGTGTAGGAAGGACTACATCTGGCCGCTCATTTTGAGATTTTGCGATTTTGAGGGCCTAGTGTTCCCCGTAATACTGTAATGACAATAAAAAAGGCCTGAAAGGCCGTCCTGTCCAGATTTGACAGGTAATTGAATTGGTTGGGCTTAAAGAATTAGCCCTAATTATTGCACGCACCGCGCAATAAAACGTTCTTTTTTTTCCCTTTTTTTTTTTTTTTTTTTTTTAAGCCCAAACAATTGAATTACCTGTCGAATCTGGACAGGACGGCCTTTCAGGCCTTTTTTTAATTGTCATTATAGTATTAGGGGAACCCCATAGCAGCCGCATCCGTGCTCAAGCCTCCAACGATGGAGCATGCGGGAGCTGCACCCACCAGCAAGTGGAATACCTGCTACAGCAGGTGGGCGATACCGGCAGGGGGCAGCCGGTAGCATAAGGACCGAGCTTCTTCGATGGGCCATATACAGCCATCAGGGCTGAGCACAATAATGCTGCCAGAATTGCACGGTTCAAAAAAAAAAGATAAAAAAATCAATGTTTTTTTTTAAAACCATTTCTCGATCTATGTTGGACTCCGTTTTTTTATCATTCGAAGTGGAAGCTATTCAGCGCTATCATTGTGTCGTCTCCCGTTCTCCCTCCTTATCCTTCCCCGCGTATCTCTCTCTCTCTCTCTCTCTGTCTGTCTCTCTCTCTCTCTCTCTCTCTCTCTCTCTCTCTCTCTCTCTCTCTCTCTCTCTCTCTCTCTCTCNTCTCTCTCTCTCTCTCCCTTTCTCTTTTTCCTCTCTTCCTTCTGTGTCAAGGCCTGTGGATGCGACCGGGGCCGATTGAAGTACTTGTTGGGTTTATGGCCCAAGTTGCACTACTCGCCATCCGCCAAGATTTCCAATGCATTTGGACAACCATGATGTCCACATGCAATCAAAATGTTGGCGGATGGCGAGTAGTGCAACGAGGCCCTATGTCTGATCCTGACTTTTCGAAGTGTCGAATACAGGGGCCCCCCTGGTACTGTGCTGCTGGGACTATACATCGACTCGATCTATGCTTGCCTCATCCTCTCTGTGCGTCCCTCGGCGGGACATCCGTTCGAACGATACAGGGAACATCAGCATGGCCAGGAAGTACCAAAAAAAAAAAAACACCACCTCTGTACGCTCCAATTTTAACGGATGCCCCGACGTTTCTCCCCTTGGGTTTTTTCCGCCTCTATAGTTTTGCGATTTCCTTCGTTGTCATCTTGACTGGAAAAAATAAAATAACCCTAACGTGCCAGCTCAGCTGCTACACCCATGAGCGGTCGAAGCACAGACACAATTTCGAATCCAGGTGCGATCACAGGAACGACATGATAATTCTGAATGATTTGCGCGCAGTGGACTTGCCCCGTGCCTATTGCAAGCGCAGGGGTCTTCGCGTCCCCCACCAGCTGTCACGTCTAGCCTTGGCTACGGCAGCCCGCTCTCGATCGTAACCGTTCAGCGGGTGGGCACGGCATGCCCCACAGCGGTCACCACGCCGACTGTCCTACCTGACCACATCGGGGAGTGATGATCACGATTCCAACTGCTCAACCGAATATGGACAGAAAGACTGGCCACGTATCCCCAGGAAAGTACTAGCGTAACCTTTGCCCTAAGTCAGGTCGAAGCATCCACCCCTTGGTGCGAACAGATCATTGGTTCGCAATGAAGTACTAGTTCTGCCTGCCTGCCGACGAATGCAAATATAAAAAACGCAGTAGCACCGAGAAAGCATAACGAACGGCCAACATCGTGAGTGAAGGCGCAGGCAATAGCGGCGGGCTTTAAGTGGGGGAAGAGAGTTTAAGAGGCGAGAGAGGCTAGGCGGTGCTTTCGAGGCGAAGGCGAGTGAGAACATTCTCGAGGCTTATCACCAAGGTGACAATGGCGCGCTGCGGAGCTTCAGCGGTGGCCATGGCGGCCTTGCTTCTGCTGATTGCAGCTGCCACACCTGCACTTGCGCAACCCGCGTCCGTGACCATTAGTGGGGTCACATTTGGCGGGAACGGGTGCAGCTGGAGCAACAGCGAATATTCCTACTCAAGCAACTCCAAGACAATCACTTTCATCTTCGGCGGGATGGTGGCCACCACCGACGGGGGGCTTGAGGATAGGCGGAAGGTGTGCCAGATCTCCATGTCCATAAGTTATCCTGATGGCTGGACCTACACGCTGGGGCAGGTGACCGGCCGTGGATTCGCCGACATTGCCAAAGGATCCCAGGGCATTTACGAGACGCATTTCTACTTCTCGGGGCAGACTGGCACCCCCAGAGTCAGCCGCATCCTCCCGGGCAAGTTCGTCGACAGCTTTGAGTTCACGGACGACTTCAGCACGTCTGTCTGGAGCCAGTGCAACAACACTCCTAATCTCAATATCAAGTCCGTGGTCAGGGTGGAAGGAAGCCAGGCCGTCATGGCGCTCGATTCCTCGGACACCAAGTTCCAGCTCGTCTACTACTTCGACTGGAAGGAGTGCTAAGTTTCCAGATTTAGAAGCCTCCAATCGGGGACGTCGCTGAAGCAGATGACCGGATGACACATCAACGGTCCAAGATGGCGGTTGACTTGACAGCACGACTACGTTGAGTTCGGTCTCGTGGCCAGAAAGCATGGGTGGCTTGGATAGAGGCGCTAGACCTCCTTCAGTTCTTGGAGGCTTATGTCAGACAAGGCCGAGGGTAGTGGTACGTTGGGAACAGTCATTCATCTGAAGTCGGGGAGGGACGGGGGTCGTAGTCGGGAGGCTGAGCGTCATAGAAAATCTTATAGGCTAAGGGCGGTGCGAGCAGTCTTTCCGATCTGATTGACCCGAGCTGATTGTAAGCCTGTTACGACGAACATGTGAGAACGAAGAAATTCTTCATTACCATATGGTTTACGAACTTACGAAGGACTTGCAAACGGGTGGTCTCCCTCTCTCTGCTCTCTCTCCTCTCTCTCCTCTCTCTCCTCTCTCTCCTCTCTCTCCCTCTCTCTCTCTCTCTCTTTCCCCCAGCTGCCGCCCTCTCTTTGTCTCACACACTTTTGGCATGGCCACTTTTCGTACTTCTGTGTCCGAATGACTGCTTCGAGTATGCAAGAAACACGAAAGATTACTGAATGGGATGACGCTGCTCTCATCACAGCTCTCTCTCTCTACCTCTCTTCTCCCCACCGCTGGCTCCCCTCTTTCTCTCTCACACAATTTTGCCACGGCCACTTTTTCTTACTTTGCGTCTGAATGCCTGCTTCGACTCCTTGAAGTATGCAAAAAAGAAACACGAAAGATTACTGAATGGGATCACGCTGCTCTCATCAAAACTATGCTATGGCGTGGCACTTCTCTTACCAAAACTATGTCATGGCCCTTATGGGCTCTCCTGTGTTAGGTGACGGAATATGATTGCCTAGGAAGCAACAGCCATTGATTGTCGTTTGGTGCTCTCTCTTTTCTCACCTTGTAAACCATGATGCAAGGAATATGCGCGAGAGCCATAGACAGAAATACAGGTTGCAAAACCACGCAGAAGTCCAGATAGTCACCAACATTCCATCCAAATAAGAGCAAACAGTGAACTCGTGTGCCAATGTTATCGCCCTCAAGCCCCACCAACACAGAATCTAATGTCGCTCATCTCTGTCTGGTGCCCAGCACCCAGCCTACTCTACTGAGCCTATCTAGCCTATCTACATCCGTGCAACAGGATCACTTCTACGTTGAAGACCAATGTACACGACGTCAACACCAATGACCTCCCAGATACATTAGGTACGTTCTCTCTCCTCCCCTCATCAGACCTTGACCACACACTCATGTGCCTCCTACCCGAAGACCACCTTCGCCCAGCACCCGCATGCGCCCGGGCAGCCCCAATATGGCTTCCATGAACCCGCTGCCATGCAGTGCACCTCTCCTATGAAACACCCGCGGACGCGTCCACGGGGTCCAGCTCGGATGGCGGCCGTATATACGGCCGCGTCCGCTGCCGACCTGGCCAGCGCCGCGGACGCGAATTTACCATATTTTTCCTGAATTAAATAATGGGTAAGGAAAAATAACAAAATATGAGGTTGTAGGGACTTTTAATCCCTACAACCCTAGGCTACCAGCCGGGCCGCCCGGGTCCCGGGTGGCCAGCCCGTGCAAGGACCAAGGAAGGTCCCAAAAAAAAAAACAAAAAAAAAAATCAAAAAAATCGGAAAACAACCTACGTTATGCAGAAAAATAAACTGAAAAACTTTTGCCTCAGGGTTACATCGAAATTCTTCACCAAATTTAAAATAAAAAATAACTTTTATTATTATTATTATTATTATTATTATTATTATTTTTTTGGCCGGGTCGGGCAAGTCACCCCGGGCCACTCTGGTAGCCTAGCTACAACCCCAATTTTTTTTTTTTATAGAAAAAGATAAGTTTTTAGAATTATAAAATATAAAAAACAGAAAAGGTGGAGAAGATAAATTATTATTATTATTTTTTTTTAAGTATTTTTTGGGGGGAGGGATTTTTGGTTGGCAGTTCATTGTATT